GCGCAACGTTGGAATGTGGCAGCCGAATTACAAAGACCCATAGCGAGACGATTGAACTCATAATGCCCCGAGGGAGTACTGAACCCAGTTTTCTCCTTTGAATCCGGGCTCAGCGGCAATTGCCAATAACCACTCAATGTGTCCATCGTGGAATAATATTTAGTCTTGCCTAACAAGCTCAAGGATTCCTGGATCAACGGTAAGGGGTAAGGGTCTATCTTCGTCACTTTATTTAGTTGTCTATAGTCCACCAAAAATCGATAACTTGAATCAGATTTCTTGACCAATAATGCCGGTGCTGACCACGGGGAGCTTGATGGTTCAACTACCCCACTTTCCATCATGTTCTCTATTAATTTGTCCATAATTTCTCGCTGCGCATACGGAATGCGATATGGAGCTCGATAGATTGGAGGACTATCGCCTGTATCTATCTTATGTTCGGTTAAACTACAATATCCCAAGTCGAAATCGTCCTTTGCAAACACCTGTTTGTATTTATACAATAAGTCCAGCAATGGAGTCAACTTGTCCTTCCCCACTTCACTTAAATCGAATAGATTAGCTACCTGCGCTCTAGTCAGCTCTTTTTCTTTGGATTGCAATGTATTGTTTCGTTCTACGCTTTCCTTTGTTTCTTCTTCTGCCTTAAAAAAGGTCCCTACTCTACTTCCCCTATTAAATTTTATAGGTTGAGTGGACACATTCATAATCCTAATCGGTATTCTGCCGCGGTGTTGCGTTTTCACTAAGACACCTGCGATAAACGCTCCTTCTCTATCCAAAGTACAAGGTTCGACTACACCTACTTGGTTAACAACTTCTCCTCTCACGTTTCCTTTCACCACGACTTCCGATCGCGGGGGAACTACGCAATCGTTTAACAATGTGACTACCTTCGGAGGGTCATCTTTCCTTTCGTTTTTTCTAACTGTTGCCCTTCGGCCTATAGTTTCTAACACTTTACTCTGTTTATTTATATGTTCGCGGTTTCCTTTTCCCTTCTTCTTATATTTGTTACTTTTATTAACCTTGTTCCGATCTTCTCTAACATTGTCTACGCCGGTCACATTTTCTTCGAACTGACCACGTTGACTTCTTTCGTTCTGTCTGCTATCGTTTATTTCTAAGCTTTGCGAATCACTAATGTTGTTATGAACACTTGCCAATCCCCAGAAGGTTACCTCATCTCCTGTTGGGAATATTAACTTCGCGTTTTTAACGGAAATGGTTATATCATATTTCTCTATTATATCCCTTCCTAAAATTCCCTCATTTGGTTCGGTTATTTTAGGGTCTACCACATAACATTCGTGCACAAACTTTAAATTACCTATCTTAAAATTTAGGATATATTTCCCTATTATTTCTATCCCGTGACCTGTTACACTTATTAAATCTAATGCGCTCGTTTGCGCTTCCTGCAATCTGCCTAACTCTTGGAAGAGCGCTTTTGATACTAACGTAACGGCTGCGCCTGTATCTATAGTAAGCCGCGTTCTTTTGTCTTCTATTTCGCAGATTAAGGTGCAAGGCGGTAAATCTCGCGGAGAATCCTCGCTCTTAGATCTACCGATTCCCGCCAACGGGATCGCATCGCATCCCTCGTCTCTTACATTAAGCAAACCGCGTGGTTGTTCTTTGACCTTAATCGAAATAACTCTATCGCCGCGATTTCCTTTTGAATCCTCTCGATTCCCTTCTCGATGATAATCTACTGGATTGGTGCTTTCCTCTGGACTGGGTAAGGCTAAACATTTACTGGCGGTGGCGCGGAGGGGTGTTCGCGGAGTTGCGTAACTCCCTTCCGGCCAGTCCTGACCGTAACGCGCCGAAAAATAAGGCATTTGTTCCCAATTTTGGTCATTTCTCTGATCTACCTGCCTATACTGTGCCTGATAAACAGGTGCTCGACCCATATAATGCAAATATGGAAATGGAACTATGGGAGTCTGTCTCCTTGACACCGACGGATTGCACGGATTAAATTTTGGCCAAGCCTGATATGGCTGGACGAACGGCAAGGTTCCTTCCCTGTCTATTTGTCCCTGGGGGAAGGGATTCTGTCCGCGGTATTGCCAAAAGGGTGTTTGATTATTATATGTTGCTGCTGGAGGTCTATGTGATCGCACTTCCAGCGCTCTAGTAAAACTCGTGGGCGGCGGTTGATGCTGCCCGCTCNCAAGGTTCCTTCCCTGTCTATTTGTCCCTGGGGGAAGGGATTCTGTCCGCGGTATTGCCAAAAGGGTGTTTGATTATTATATGTTGCTGCTGGAGGTCTATGTGATCGCACTTCCAGCGCTCTAGTAAAACTCGTGGGCGGCGGTTGATGCTGCCCGCTCGCATAATTCTGAGCTTTTCCCCTTTCGAAATTGATTCTTGTTGATGATTGGGGTGTTCGCTTAAATCGCGGGTACACCTGCTTGCGCTGATTATTTGTCGGTCCCTTTAAGGACTGATTCTCGATTTTCTTTCCCAAATTTTCAAGTTGCCGCGTAATTTGATTAATTTTCGCGTCAAGCGCGGATTCCTGGTCCATGTTCTTGTTCCCCCCTTTTGCTGCGCAATAATCCAGCGTTTCCTCTACGCCTGCAACTAAATTCCTATTCTTTCCTGTCAACTGTTCGATTGTTTCCTCTCTTATCGCTACCCTTAACGCTTCTGAAAACGTAGCGGGGTCTTGTGCCATAACGTTCCGCTTATACTTCTCNTCCTGCGTTTCCTCTACGCCTGCAACTAAATTCCTATTCTTTCCTGTCAACTGTTCGATTGTTTCCTCTCTTATCGCTACCCTTAACGCTTCTGAAAACGTAGCGGGGTCTTGTGCCATAACGTTTTGCTTATACTTCTCGTTTAGCCCGTATAAAAATTGCACGCGAAGCTTTTCATCCAGCTCCCGTTGCTGACATTGTCTTATGATTGCGCGCTCCTGTTCTGTCGTTCCCGTGTGTTCGATAGTCGTCGCACTAGCTAGAGTTTGTAGCCTGACCGCAAACTCTTGAACCCTTTCCTCACGCTACTGAGCGCAAGCGTGAAATTTTTGCACTCTGATTGAATACGGTACGCGATCGAATCTCTCCACCATTAACCGTTTAAACTCGCCGTATTCACCGACGCTTTTCATTTGCATATCTCTCCATGCGAAATCCCTGGCAACGCCTGCCAGTTTGCATTTTGCAATGCTTAAAGTCTGTCGCTTAGTCCATCCCGCTAGCCCAGCTACTTCATCCAAGGTATCAAAAAAGTCGGTGACGCGTCCGCTTTCACCGTTGAAGGTGGGAATCATTCCCCCTAATGCCGCGAATGAACCTCCGCCTACTTCCCGCGTTTGCGATGGGGCAGATGGGGCGCCTGTCTCAGTGGCCATGTTCTGATGCACCTTTCTTCCTCACTCCTACAATTTCGTATCGGCTTCCTCAAGATTCTGGCGGACGGTATTACTACCTTTTCCCACCAGAGTAACTTCGGGAACAAAAATCCCACTTCACTGACACCACTGTGAGGCCAGCCGATTAGGGGTGAGGTGTTTTCGACAGCCGAGCGGTTAATTCTGTCGTGTGGGCGCGGAATGACTCACCGAGACAGGTTTACCATATAAAACCGTTTAATAATATACATAAATCGTTCTTACAACAATCTAATGCGGGCAAGAGCTTATCCCACGATGGGTTTCTGTCACAGTTCCTAAAAATCGGACAGTTCGATTGTTCGATTGGTCCTTGGGGAGCTTTCGGCACTGTGGACGCAGAGAACGATGGCTCCGGGGCACGCACCAACACTTGTAGTGATGTCCTCGGTTGACAAGTCGAACCTCGACGATCCTGGACGTGACCTCGGCGATCCTAGAGTGGACGGGTTGGCGAAACCAGTTCCTAGGTCGTCGGAAGAGCCTTCGTTGCGTCTCGGTCGGGAGCACCAAATCCCAACAGGTGAGCACTACACACCAAAACCCAAGACCCCGTAAAGTTTTCGAAAACGCGGTATTATCAATTTTTCCACCGCGGTCGCCTCTCCATTGGTCTCTCCTCATCACATGGTGACAATTCGAAACTCCAGGAAGGGCGCAGGAGAGTCCAACGTCACGTCGGAACACGACTCCTCTCCAACCTTGTTTTCTTCGACTTTACTCTATCTATTGTTTAAAATCTTTTAACAAGACAAAAGGTTCATTGTTTAAATCCGATCTTTAAGTTCGCTCTTTTCCACTACGAAACTTGACTCATTTAAAAAGTCGTTAATGGCCTGCTTTCGGACCCCGTTTGGGTCCTCACATTAATCAGTTCATAAGGCAGATGAGGAGACGGTTGATGTGGTGACACGGCTCTCGAGAAAGACAGAAATATTATTTTGTGCGTTGACACGCGGCGTCTTCGTAATTCGGAACTTCACTAACCGAGTGTCTGACTAACCGAGTTCGGATGCACAGTTGCACAGTTTACGGTAAAGTCTATCCTTGTAGATCGGGGACTATATCAATTTCCGTTCTCCGATTTGTTTATTCTGATTGGCTCCGCGTCTTTTTTCCTGCTCCCCGATTAGTCTCTCGACTGTCTTTAAGAGAAAGACGGCTCCTGTTCGAGTCATGTCCAAAACGGCAAGAATAATATAAATTGCAGGTCTTGTGTTGTAGACATATAGGTCTAATCCTTATTTCTGTTAACGAACATTATTTGTGCTGCAGAATTTTGCTGCCGTTTTTGTTATCTGTTCTGTTTTAATGGCCCGGATTATAAACGTCGTACCATAAGAAACTACGTTTATTAATGTTTACTACTAGTTAAAAATTCCGATATTTGCATACATTAATCAAAACACACACCCAGCCAACATTGTTGTCATCACTATTTTAAGAAATTATAAGAAGCATATATTATTATTGTCTCTTAGAAAACATAAAAGGGACATATCGGGGACATTCCTCTACCGGATGATGTAATAATTGGACCATACCATTGGAGGAGCAAGCAGCAACTTTAATTAGTGAGGAACTGGCGACGACTGCCTGAACCTGCCTCTATCTGTCATATTAAAATTACTGAATACGGCTTGGAAAGCAGAAGGTCACATTATTGGTAGTTATATATATTAGTTTTTATCAAAAAAACTCAAAAAATGTCATGAAAAACGGTCCATGTTTAAAGCAGTCAGTTAAGGAAAAGGTAATTGCTTTTCGTAGTGTTGCACTGATCTGTTATAAGCACTTATTATTTCTGTAATTCAGTCTAAAAAGCTGCAATTTTTTAAAGTAATATAATATTTAGAACAAGTAAAATCGTCAGTAATATAGAAAATTAATCAGATGTTTAAAAAATAACTTTTTTTAGTCGTTTTAATATCTGAAATTTAAATTTTAATTAATATTACTCTTTCGGCTCTGTTATGAATAACAGGGAAAAAGTATGGCAATCGGTTAGAAAACGACTCCAGTAAGGTTTATATGTTCTTATACTCTGGGGTCATTGAAAAATCAAGAAATTTACAAGTATTTTTCGACAAAATTTACCCTTACTTTCAAAATGTAGCTCATGCTACTTTATAATGATTAAAATACAAGCCTACAGATACTAAAATTTTGGGAGGATTTCCTAATTAATAGGGAGTGAAAAAATAAACAAAATAAAACATATTTTTAGTCTGAGGGAAACACATTCGAAAGAAAGATGTGTAAATGAGGTATAGTTTCATCTTTGATTTTTAATTCAACTGCTGAATTTCCTTAACAATAAATCACGTTGTGAATACTACATGTTTTCAATTATACTTTATATAATGCACAATTTTCTCTGAATACTTATTTTACTTATTTAGATAAAATTACTTATTACCGTATAAAACAAAGCAAACGAGTTTTTTACCTAAAATTGATCTTAAAATGTTACGGGGAAGCTTCACATAGCCTGATAACTTTTAAGGTTTATAATGTTTAACTTGTAGTGCCCCACGTTTCTAAATCCTTCCAAATAAAATGATTTTATCAATGATAAATAGTCTAGTGTGTCAATTACTTTTTGTCACAATTTCATTCAAGTAGTATTTGTATTTATAATTGTTTTGAATCCGCTCTATCTTATGTTCAAATTTTTCACTTATTGGTCCTACTCGGATGGCAAACTTATTACTATGAGGACTTATCATAGTAATATTTGATCCTAACACTATGTAAAAATACGCTTTTATTTTAAATACTTCAAGCTATTATGTAATGGGATTTATATTTATAAATTATTTGCAATACTTGAATATCGAAAATATTTTAATACATTTTATATTTATTAAAATATTCTAAAAAGTCTTAATCACATAATCCAATAACGTATTAAAAAAAATATGTAAAGTAAAATTTTATTAATCGCGAACTGTTTCCAGGCAATACAATCACTTTTTATCACACTAGAAACATGCCACGGTAAAAAGACGAAGTAAACACGATTTCAAGTATTTTTAAGGGCGATAGAATTGTATTCTACAATGATAGCAACATCTGAAGGGTATGCAGTCAAGCATTTTTTTGATATTTAAAACTAATAACGTGTATATTACATTTGTTGCATGAAGTTGTTCCTTGCACGCAGGTTTACAATTCAGCATTTTAAAAATAAGAAAGTTTAATATTCATTAATTGATGAGGAATTTTAAGGAAGAAGAATGTATCGAGAAATCGAGAAAGGTTTCGTTTTTCATTAATTATTTTTTACGTTATTCTTTTAGGTTTTTTCCAGGGCTGTGGAGTCGCGTAAAAATCTACCGACTCCGACTTTGACCGGTGGCGGACTTGTTACCGAAATAGATCGTAAAATTCTGATTCCATCACGTAAGCTCAAAATAAAAGATTCAATAAATAGGGTTTTAATAAAGAAAGAGCGTCGAAACTTTTTATTCCAAAGCTAAAAGATTTCTGTAAGTAATATATAAATATGTATTCGATAATTTTTATATTTCCGTCTGTTATACATAACACAGGAAAAGTGTACCCTCAGTCGAAAAATGACTCCTCCCAAATGTTTACATTTTTGGACTCCGACGAAATTTCGAGATTTGCAAAATACTCAAAGTCTTTTTCTATATTTTTTATATTACCGTACTGTACT